AGTGGCGCTGTGGCTCAAGTGGTAGAGCGCTAGCCTTGAGCTGAAGAGCTGAGGAACAGTGCCCAGGCCCAGAGTTCAGGCCCCACGACTGGACCAAAAAAATATCTGGAAGTGGAGCTATAGCTCAAATAGTAGAGCACTATTACCATTGAGAAAAAAGCTCAGAGATAGCATCCAGGCCCCAATTTCAAGCCCCAGGACTAGCACACACACAGAAAAAGAAAAGGAATATAACAATTACAGTAATATGCCTAGCTTTAATTCAAATGTCACCAATAAAATCATTTTTTAAGTATTTCTTGAAGACGCATTTCATAGCTCTCTTGGAAGTTTATTTTCCTTAATTTGCAATAAAATAATATCTCAAGATTACAATGTTCATTGTTAAGTAAAATAAAAATAAGGGTATTGGCCAGGCTTTGGTGGTTCACACCTAGCTACTCAGGAGGCTGAGATCTGAGGATCGCAGTTCAAAGCCAGCCTGGGCAGGAAATTCCGTGAGACTCATCTCCAATAAACCACCAGAAAACCAGAAGTGGCGCTGAGGCTCAAGTGGCTGAGTGCTCACCTTGAGCTGAAGAACTGAGCGATAGTACCCAGACTCAGAATTCAAACCCCACCACCAAAATTAAAAGGGGGAGGAAATTGTATAATTTTTAAAGTTTATTCATAGTAGTTTGTATTCAGCAAGATGAGAGACTGCAGTAAGTGCCTTTGTCATAACTCATGCTCAGTAGCCACCTGCAGCTCTGATTTTTGGTAGTGTAGATTCTTTGAAGATCAGATAGCATCAATCCTATGAAAAGATCTATGCTGTTTATTATACATATCTTCATTCTTTGGGTAGTCTTCAGCATATATGTATCTTTTTGTGTGTGTGTGTGTATGTGTGTGTGTGTGTGTGTGTATGAGTATGAACGTAGATAGATAGGTATATATCTGTATATAGATAAATACATCTATTTTGGTCTTTGGGCATGTTCATGGATCCTGCGAGTAGCAAAATTGAATTTCTTTTAGTTTTACCCTGAACAAATAAGCTTACTTGCATTTTAAAATTGAATGCAATGAATAATTAAAAGATTTAATAAATCCCTATCTTTTAAAGAAGTCTTTTAGTGCCACACTCAAGTTTTATGCAGAACAACTCATCTGTAAAGCTATTTCAGATGAATGGTTTTACAAATAATATTGTAAATGCAAATGTTTCATTTAAGCATCAAGAATTTCTATAGTTGACCATGTTGTGTGTGTGTGTGTGTGTGTGTGTGTGTGTGTGTGTATGTGTATGTGTGTTGCCATCATCTTCTGAAAAGCAGCTCTATTTTGTTACATGCATTCCTCAGTAATAATATACATAATACAGGTCAAATAAATATTTCAAAGTAAAAATCAAGTCTTAAGTTTTGATGTCATGCACATTTTATATGGGCAATGAAACCTTAATTTGATTTTTAAAAGAAATCACAAACATCAAATTTAATCCCTTTCAAAGAAGCATCTTTAGTTTGACAGTGTCTTGACCAAATATTCCTGAAATTTTGGAGAACAATTCTCTAAACAATACTCAAATGAAAGTTCAATGTGGGGGAGGGGGGGCTGGGAAGGGATGTGAAGGGTAAACAAAGGAGGAGGCTGCAATGCTTGATAAGAAATGTACACATTATCCTGCCCATGTAATTGTAACCCCTCTGTACAGTATGTTCTCAAAAAACAGTATGTTCACAAAAAAATAAAATAAAATGAAAAAAAAAGAAAGTTCAATGTGTCAGAACACTGTGTTATAGCAAATATTATTTTCCATGCCTTCCTTATTTAAGTACAAATCAGCAAGTAAACATGTACATCTTGATCACAATACGCATTTCCCATTTACATCTAGATGATTAAGTCATCCAAAAAATATCCTCATTAAAGTACCATTTGCATCCTGTAAGATCATTTTAAACCAGAGCATTTTGAAAATGGTTAAGCAAAACAATAAAAATACAAGTCGTTATCCTAGATTCTTATATTGTCTAGGCATTATGCAAGTCCTTATTGCCCTTAATTTTGAAAAAATTCTAAATATTTGAATGTGGACATAAACGAAGAATGTTCCTCATTATTTCCATCACTGAGAGTTCTGCAAATAACAAAACTGCAAGATCAAGCTTAGTGGTTAGGAGCATGTTCCCTGGACCAGATTACCAATTGGTCTCAGCCCCACCAGCTACTGGCAGTGTTCCTTGGGCTAATATCCCATTGCCTCTTTAGGCTGTAGGTTCCTGTTAATATATTAAATAAGTTACTGTGTATTAAAGCATTTAAAATAATGTCACATAATATTCAGTGAATATTTAGTGTATATTATTAATATATTCGTTTGGTCCAAAACTTAAAGGCTCCATAGTAAAGGTGTCTATTTGGCTGCTAATTCCTATTTTTATGTCTATGATTTTAGTCATGCTCAAGTTTATACATCTGTATATGATCTATGATATACATATATAAACTGCATAGTAAAGATGTATATATAAACATGCACAAATGGGAAATATGAAAATAAAATAGAAGCAAACTATATAACAGAGTAAACAAGTCGCACAGTGAAGAATCTTGCCCTTAGAATTTAGCCTTTCATGATGCTAAAAGAACATGCTCCCTTTCAAAAGATCTCTACCTTGTAGTTTATAGTTGGAGCCTGAGCTGTTTGCTTTGTTCTTTCTGTTAGTTTACTATTCCCTGCAACATGTATACATTTAGGAAACAATGATATTAGCAGGCATAGTCTTCCTTAAAACCTGATACATTATTAGTTAATACAGCTTGGAGGTTTCTTGCTTTCTGGTTTAGTTTCAGAATGTCAGTTTTATGAGGTAGTCAATCAGC